CCCCAAAACCCCAAAACCCCAAAACCCCAAAACCCCGGCAAGCATTGTTTCTGAAATACTAAGGAATTCTAAAAATCATTAATGCAAAATACATTATTCATTAAGAATTTTTACTTGTAATATAAATCATCTCTCTAACTCAGTTGTCCTTTCCCCATTCTTGTCCTTCAGGTGCATCAGGTCTATCTTTGCCCTCATAATCTTTCTTTGCAACTTCATCCCAGTTGGTACTTAGGACTGTGCCGCCACTTGTTTGGTAACTCTTTATCATAGCTCTTCTTGTATTTTCATCAGATCTCTCATAAATCTACTTAAAGAGGGTATTCAATGCTGCATCACCCTCAGGCTTCTCTTTGGCAAAGTCCTTCTCTATTTATTTATCGATTTACCCCCAATCTTGCTTCTTCTTTGAGCTTGTGGGGTAAGAAGGTGGGTTCTAAGATGATTGAATAACTTAAGTAGTAGCCATTAACTTAGCCTCTCCAGCTTTCTCTACTTTCATCCATGAGGTGTTGTCAATTGATTTTCTAAGCTTTAATTCAATCTTCTTAGCAGTGGTGGTTGTTGAACTCTCAGCTGGAATGATGCTGTTGGAAAGCTCAAGTGAGAGCGAAAGATCTTCATAGGAGATTTGAACATTAGTCTCATCAAAATTAATTTGAGCCTTTTCTGACACTGTAGGATTGGAGACTTTGTAAGAAATAAATACGTGAGTTGCGTTTTGATACCAGTCATATTTAGGATCAATCAATGGTACCTATTTGACTACAGGGGTCTGCTGAGTTGGAGCAGGTTCAGACTTCTTTTACTCTTCCTAAGTAGATTTGAGATATGCGGCATCATTAATTGTTCCGATTTCACTCTATCTGAGTAGTTCCATTTGTGCTTTTCTCTCTAGGACATTAATCTATCTCTCGAGATCTTTATTTTCAAGCTCATCTTGAACATTGCTCAAGGAATTTTTAGCAGCTTAGATATCTGTGACAGAATCGTTTAGGTTTCCTTAGAGGAAATGAGCTTTGGCTCTAAGATAAAGTAATTGTGGGACTTCAGAACCAGTAGCAGCTGAATGAGCTTCATTGAGTACATCAATGGCAACTTGATACTTTCCTAGAGTTAGATTTATAGAAGCCTAAGTTATCTTAGCAACAAAGGAAGGAGACTCTTGTGAAAGATGAAACAGTGCAGAGTGATGATTGCCCAAAGCGAATTGCAGTAAAGCTTGGTTTAAGTGATTAGTTTCCATTTGTTTGTCAAAGTAAAAATCTTATACTTTTAAATTATTAATTCGAGAACTTTCTATTAGGAATATTCATTATGAAGGGGTTTTGGGGTTTTGGGGTTTTGGGG